CTGGACCAGATGGCTTCAGCACAGAATTCTACAAGACCTTCAAAGAAGTACTAACACCAATTCTCCTCAAACTATTCCACAAAATAGAAATAGAAGGAACACTACCAAACTCATTCTGTGAAGCCATAGTCACCTTGATACCTAAACCACACAAAGATCCAACAAAAAAAGAGAACTTCAGACCTATCTCTCTTATGAACATTGATGCAAAAATACTCAATAAAATACTTGCAAACCGAATCCAAGAACACATCAAAGATATTATCCACCACGACCAAGTAGGCTTCATCCCAGGAATGCAAGGGTGGTTCAACATATGGAAATTCATCAATGTAATCCACCACATAAACAAACCGAAGGAGAAAAACTACATGATCATCTCCTTAGATGCTGAAAAAGCATTTGACAAAGTCCAACACCCATTTATGTTTAAAGTCTTGGAGAGATCAGGGATACAAGGCACATACCTAAAGATAGTAAAGGCAATATATAGCAAGCCTATAGCCAACATCAAACTCAATGGAGAGGAACTTAAATCAATCCCACTGAAATCAGGGACAAGATAAGGCTGCCCATTCTCTCCATATCTCTTCAACATTGTACTTGAAGTCCTAGCCAGATCAATAAGACAACTATAGGAGATCAAGGGGATACAAATCGGAAAGGAAGAGGTCAAAGTGTCACTATTTGCAGATGATATCATAGTATACATGAGCGACCCCAAAGATTCAACCAGAGAACTTCTTCAGCTGATAAACACCTTCAGCAAAGTGGCAGGATACAAAATCAACTCAAAAAAATCAGAACCCCTCTTGTATACCAAAGACAAAAAGGCTGAGAAAGAAATTAGGGAAACAACACCCTTCACAATAGCCACTAATAACATAAAGTACCTTGGTGTGACTCTAACCAAGCAAGTGAAAGACCTGTTTGAGAAAAACTTCAAGTCTTTGAAGAAAGAAATTGAAGATCTCAGAAGATGGAAAGATCTCCCATGCTCATGGATTGGTAGGATTAACATTGTGAAAATGGCCATCCTGCCAAAAGCAATCTACAGATTCAATGCAATTCCCATCAAAATACCAACTCAATTCTTTACAGACCTTGAAAAAAAGATTCTCAGCTTCATATGGAGAAACAAAACACCCAGAATCTCCAAAACGATCCTGTACAATAACAGATCATCTGGAGGTATCTCCATTCCCGATCTCAAGCTGTACTACAGGGCAACAGTAATAAAAACTGCATGGTATTGGCATAGAAACAGAAAGGAGGATCAATGGAACTGCATAGAAGACCCAGAAATAAACCCACACACCTATGAATACTCAATATTTGACAAAGAAGCCAAATCCATCATCTTCAACAAATGGTGCTGGACCAACTGGATGTCTACATGTAGAAAAATGAAAATAGATCCATATTTATCACCCTGCACAAAACTAAAGTCCAAGTGGATCAAGGACCTCAACATAAAACCAGATACTCTAAATCAGTTGGAAAAAAAAGTGGGGAACAGCCTAGAACTCATTGGCACAGGAGACAACTTTCTGAACAGAACACCAACAGCACAGGCTCTGAGAGCAACAATCAATAAATGGGACCTCATGAAACTGAAAAGCTTCTGTAAAGCAAAAGACACTGTCATGAAAACAAATAGACAGCCCACAGATTGGGAAAGAATCTTCATTAACCCTTTATCTGACAGAGGGCTAATATCCAGTATATATAAAGAACTAAAGAAGCAGAAAAGCAACAAACCAAGTAATCCACTTAAAAAATGGGGAACAGAGCTAAACAGAGAATTCTCGAAAGAGGAACATCGAATGGCAGAGAAACACTTAAAGAAATGCTCAACCTCATTAGCCATTAGGGAAATGCAAATCAAAACGACCCTGAGATTTCACCTTACACCCATCAGAATGGCCAAGATGAAAAACTCAAGTGATAGCACATGCTGGAGAGGTTGTGGAGAAAAGGGAACCCTCCTCCATTGCTGGTGGGAATGTAAACTGGTTCAACCACTCTGGAAGTCAATCTGGCGCTTTCTCAGACAACTAGGAGTAGTGCTACCTCAAGACCCAGCTATACCACTCCTAGGTATATACCCAAAATTTGCTCAAGTACACAACAAGGACATTTGTTCAACCATGTTTGTAGCAGCTTTATTTGTAATAGCCAGAAGCTGGAAACAACCCAGATGCCCCTCAACTGAAGAATGGATGCAGAAACTGTGGTACATCTATACAATGGAGTATTACTCAGCAATGAAAAATAAGGAAATCATGAAATTTGCAGGCAAGTGGTGGGATCTAGAAAAGATCATTCTGAGTGAAGTATCCCAGAAGGAGAAAGACAAACTTGGTATATAGTCGCTTATATAGACCTACAAGATATGATAAACATAATGAAATCTACACACCTAAAGAAGATAATCAAGAAAGTGGACACAGGCGAAGGTGACTAATCCTCATTTAGAAAGACAAATGGAATGTGCATTGAACTTATGACAGGAGTCTACCACAAAAGGCATCTGAAAGACTCTACCTAGCAGTGTTTCAAAGCAGACACTAAGACTCATAACCAAACCCTCGGCAGAATGCAGGGAATCATATGAAAGAAGGGAAATTAGTATGATATGAAAAGGATAGGAGCTCTACAAGGACCAAATATATCCGGGCACAGGGTCTTTTCTGAGACTGACACTCAACCAAGGACCATCTATGGATATAACCTAGAACTTCTGCTCGGATGTGGTCCGTGGTAGCTCAGTAACCAAGTAGTTTTCCAAAGTAAGGGGAACAGGGACTATTTCTAACAGGATCTCAAGGGCAGGCTGTTTGACCCTACCCCCCCGCCCCCCCAGGGAGGAGCAGTCTGTTAGGCCACAGAGGAGGACTTTGCAGCCAGCCCTGAAGATACCTGATAAAACAGGGTCAAATGAAAGGGGAGGAGGTCCTCCCCTATCAGTGGACTTGGAAAGGGGCAGGGAGGGAGTGTGGGGTTGGGGAGGGAATGAGGGAGCGGGATACAGCTGGGACACAGAGTTAACAAAATGTAACTAAAAAGAAAAATAAAATTAAAAAAAAAAAAAAAGAATGATCTTTTCTAGATCCCACCATTTGCCTGCAAATTTCATGATTTCCTCGTTTTTGATTGCTGCGTAGTATTCCATTGTGTAAAATGTACCACAATTTCTGTATCCATTTCTCCGTTGATAGACATCTGGGTTATTTCCAGGTTCTGGCTATTACGAATAAAGCTGCTACAAACATAGTTGAGCAAATGTTCTTCTTGTGTACTTGAGCAGATTTTGGCTCTATACCTAGCAGTGGTATAGCTGGGTCTTGAGGAAGCACTATTCCTAATTGTCTAAGAAAGAGCCAGATTGACTTTCAAAGTGGTTGTACCAGTTTATATTTCCACCAGCAATAGAGGAGGGTTCCCCTTTCTCCACAACCTCTCCAGCATGTGTTGCCACTTGTCACTTGAGTTTTTCATCTTGGCCATTCTGATGGGTGTAAGGTAATCTTTTTCTTTTTAAGTGTGTGTTCCTATGTCACATATAACAGGTGCCTTTGTAGGCTAGAAGAGGTCCTTGAATTCTCTGGAACTGGAGTTACAGGAGTTCCTGAGTTGTATGATGTGTGTGTTTGGGAACTGGATTTGCAGCCTCTTGAAGAGAGTCGCAAGCTCTTATTAACTACTGCACTGTCTCTGTATTCCTACCCACGTTTCCAGTTCATGATGTGACTGATGCTTGTGTTTTCCGTATTGCAGATTATTTCCCGTTCCTGAGTGATCTGTACTATGGTTCTGGTAATGCAGAATCTTTCACTGTGATGTTTCTCCTCTTGAGTCTTGTTTAAGGAGTTATCGTTAGCAAGACTTCTTTTTGTTTCTGCCATTCATGGTTACTTTGATTCATAGTTTGATACCAGTTTGAGCTGGAGATAATTTTATTTCCTAGGAAACATTTAGAAATATCTGAGGATATTTGTAATTATGTTAGTTAGGTAAAGACATGCTCTTTGCATCTCATGGGTGGATGCCAGAGCATTTGCAGAAATGCCTGGGTACACAGGTCATCTCTCTAACTAGCCACAATTTGAGTCATGCTGAAATTGCTTTATGCTCATCATCTGTTCACTTGTTTATGTTTTCTTTTTTAAAAGTGGTGATGAGAATCAAACTGCATCTGGGATTGCCATTTCTCATGCTAGGCAAGCACTCTTTTTGGTAGTTTGGACCTAAGTCATAGACATATAGCTACTGAATTTCCACAGAATGATCATACATATGAATATATCACCCAGAAAACTGTAAAGTACCCAGGCAGGTTGGAAACCTTTCTACACATTTACCCCAAAGTGTAACAACTAATTTGACCTCTAACACCAATAAACAATTTTTCTGTTTAAAATTTTACTAAGATGAAATTTCATGGAGGAGAGTAGAATTCTCCTGTATTGAACACTTAGAAATTTATCAAGAAGGGAAATAAAGCAGTTGTCATTTTTTTTTATCATAGAAGCTTTACCAGAAAAATAAATCATGGGAAAGGTCTCTGTTTCATAGACTAGACTGACTCATCTTGTTTGGCACCCTGGCTGTTTTCCTCCTTTCCAAAGCTCCCAAGCTTCCCCTGGAAAGGTTGCATCTTTCTTTACCTTGTTCTTCACTTTGGCATTCACCAGTCAATATACTTCCATCCAATTGTGCTTTTCAGCATATTCTCATTTTCAGCATATTCTCATTCTCATTCTCATTCTCATTTGTGTGGTTGAAGGTTTCTTTCTGTTTACTTACCTGCTGTCATTTGTAGAGTGCCCGCAGTTGAAGGGTGGGAAGCAGCTGCCTTTTTTCCATTTCTCGGCTGTCTTCTGGAAGCTGCTTGACTATTTTAAAATAACAAATTTTGGCAAAGACCTGGATTTCAGTTCATTCATCCAATGTATGGAAGTGGTACCTTCTGACCTCTTCTACCTTTCTCTTCCTAGAGCTCATTATCCTGGAACCCATACAGTTTGGAATGCAAAGATGTCGAGGAAGAAACTTTGGTCGTCTGAAGATTTTAGCACTATCAACAGTGATGTTGGTGCAGGCTGTTGGGGTCGCATATTGAACCAAAATTATATCAATGGCAATATGACTGCGTAAGTTATTTACAACCTTTTGGAGGCTTTTATTATAATGAATTTTAGAAAACACAATAAGTAGAAGAATATAATGGATCACTATAATTTTATATCCTAGATTTAATGGTTGACTTATTGACTTAATCTACATATGCCTAGTATTTGTCTAATCTATACTTTCTTTTCTATATTTGAGAAAAGTCTGTATTAGGTAAAGTTGGGCTTATTGGGTTATAGTTTACTCGGGTAGTGCAATGATTTTTGATAATCTGTATATTTTTATGTCATGATATTATACCATCATATTTTAATATGTGTCTCTAAAACATAAGGATATTTCCTCAGATGATTATCATTTTCATAACTATGAGCATGTAAAATATTTCTAATTCTCAGCCTTTATATTTTTAAATGTCATTTGTAATTTTTATTTATTTTAAATAGAGATAGAGCAAAGCTCTTTGCATTGCATTGAGCAGTTTTGGTCCCTAAATCTCTTTTAATGTAGAATTTCTATCTACTCTTCTTTCATATCTCCCTTTAATAAAAAAACAAAAACAAAACAAACAAAAGAAAAGAGCAGTAGCCTTTAATTGGCACCCACTTACCCTCTGAGTAGCAAGCTCCTTATTGGCTGTCTTAACTTTATCAGAAGTTTGTAAAGAACAATACAATCCCTTTTGTTATTAAAGGGATACTTCCTAAATGTTTGATAACAGCTTATGACTAATGCAAATTAGTCATGAAAGAATTTATGTCTAATAAAAACTAGTCAATATGCATATTTTTGTGGTGGCTTGTCTGGTATTAAGATAATGCATATTTATTACAGACAGTGGAGATTGGAAATGTGTACAGTGAGTGAGACAAAGATGCCTATAATCTTACCATCTCAAAATAGTGGTCCTTCAAACATTCTCCTCTTTTTATATACTTTTAAATATAAAATTGACACCTTAGTATATAGTTTGTTGAGTAAGCTACTTCTCACTTAACAGAATATTATGACTTTTTCTCACATTAAGTGTATGTTTTACTTCATCCCTTTTCCCAATTTTTTTGTTTGTTTTGTTTTTGACCAGTCTTCAAATGTTGCTCAGGCTGGCCTTGAACTCTATATTCTTGCTCAGCCTCCTGAGTGCTGAAATTATAGGCATACACCACCATATCCAGATACTTATCATACTTCCATATTTTCTGTACATGAAAAAGTATTTACTAACTATACCCTGTCTGAAAACACCCTGTGGTGCTTCTCAATCATGAGAACTCTTAGGATGTGCATTATTATTTTTACTTTATATTGAGATAATGAGAAGGGTTAAATTTTCTAAGTGTGCCAGAGTAGCTCTGTGTGTTGGGAGAGAACTTGGTCAGGGAAGCGAAATTCTCTGGGTGAGTGCTGTTTGTTTTTCAGCTGTAAGGAACCTGGCCAGGTATAAAAATTTATGTTTTGTGCTTGAGTTTTCTGAAAGCTGTATTGTCACAGCTCTGTTCCTGGAGCTTATTATGTGCTCTAAATTTTGAGAGTCTGTCATCTGAAAAGGTGGCCCCAAGCTAGTCAAACAAGCTGATCCAGTTAGCACTTGAGCAGAAGCAGAAATAATAGAGGCTAGAGTTGCATCAGTGTGTTTAACCTTCCCTGCCCCCTGATGATTCAGATGCAGTCCTTATCCTCCATTCACAGGTGAGGTAACAGGATCAAAAGAGGTTACCTTGTGGAGTCCTGATTTGAACCCATACAGTCTAACTCTAAGGGACCTCCTTTTAAAACTGCAACAGTTTCAAGTCAAACTCATCAAAATTATATTGTAAAATTGGGGTATTAGGAAGACTGTCAGTGGGAGAGCAGTTACAGAAAAAGCTTTTACTTGCACTTGTTTCAATTTTTTATTAAGGATTTTTAAAATTAATTACAGTTTATTATCCCCCCTGTAGCTCCCTCACTCCTCCCCTCCCGACCCCACCCTCTCTCCCCCTTCTCTACCCATGTTCCTCCCCAAGTCTACTAATGGGGGAGGTCCTCCTCCCCTTCCTTCTGATCCTAGTCTATCAGGTCTCATCAGGACTGGCTGCATTGTCTTCTTCTGTGGCCTGGTAAGGCTGCTCCCCCTACAGGGGGAGGTGATCAAAGAGCAGGCCAATCAGTTCATGTTAGAGATAGTCCCTGTTTCCATTACTATGGAACACTGAACTGCTATGGGCTACATCTGTGCAGGATTTTTTTGACGTGTTAAGCATGACTCATCTTTTGGCTTTACTGCCAAAAATTAAGTTAAAAAATTAAGTTAAGCAGAATTTGTGTATGTGTGTTGTACAACAGTATGTGTGTATGTATGTTCAAGAATATATATGTGTATGTCTGTTGTACAAGGATTTTATGTGTGTGTGTGTGCATGTGTGTGCATGTGTGCTGTACAAGAATATGTGTGTGAGTGTTACATTTAATTCTCTGATTTACCATTAAAATGCTTTGGGTAAACACTGAACTGGTTTTTTAAAAATGGGAGTGAATTGAGGCAACATACGTTTTGTTTGGGATACTTCAAAGCTTATGTTGATTTACTTGTATATAATTATGAAAGATATTTTTTCTCCAGTCTTTTGGATGTTTGTTTTTATTGTATAGTATTTTGACATTCCTATTGTTTTTATCAAACTAATATTTTAGCACAATTGCTTGGAATTTGGTGGCTAGTTACTATGAAGAATTGCCTTATGGGCGAAGTGGATTGATGACAGCCCAGGAGCCATGGAGTGGGCATTATGTAGTAGAATCTCCTATCTGGGTATCAGGTATGGATGCCTAGATCTATCTCTTTCTCCACAAATTCTTTTTAAGAGACATAGCAGAAGTCACAAAATGAGGCTATGCGAACTGTCCATGTCATAATTGTGTGACTATTTTAAGGGAGATCTGCCAGTGATTTATGATATTATTTTGGATAACCTGAATACTTTCTGTATTTCATCCCTGATTATCCTAAGACCAGGCCCTTAAAAAGGAAGGAAAGAGGATAGCAGCATAGGGAAAGGGGATGTCTGGCAATGGAGACAGAGTTAATCATTTAAGATCCCAAATCATGGTAATAGCTAATGGAATGAATATACTTATAAAGATTCAGTCCAGCTCAGTGTGTCTATAAGTTTTGAGATTATTCCTTATATCAGTTCCATTTTATTGATTGTACTAAAGTAAGTAAATAATATTAGATGACTAATAAAAATTGTAAGCATTAATTAACCAAAAAATCAATGTTTTGTGAAAGAGTATGGCTTTACATTGGCTCCTAAATCTACTAAGTTTTTGAAGATCTGAATGACAGGAAAAGATAAAATTATGACTCTCATATACATTAAAAATGATTATATGCTCAGGAGTTTATGTTTCTCACATGAAGTGAAGAAACCAGGCAGATGCTAGAAGCAGCTTAAAGTACAGGTCAGCAGATCCAGGTCTGTGTGTCTGCTTTTAGTGAAGCCAAGCAATTTGAGATTAGTTACAAGTAGAGGCAAGTTGATTTTCTCACAACTGATTGAAAACAATTAAAACTTACATGGCTTGAAGATGGGCTGTTAGACTCATCTACTTCTATTGAAACCAATATCCTTGTCTATTATATCAGTCACAATTGAAGTTGCTGTAATATAGATAGTGGATGGCATCTGAAAGAGTATAACCATAAACACAGACAGCAGCCTTATACATAAGGTGAATAACAATAGGAAATTTTTTCTTTAACATTTTAGTTAGATATTTAACATAATCATTACTTTGCTTCAAAATTATACCATTGTCTTTTATAAAAACCAGTTTCTTAAAAATCAAGACAATTCTTACATAAAATTCCATTCATTCTGCCCAACAGTTGGCCATCAGGCTCAGCATCTGCTTTGATAGTCAGGAGAGCAACAGAACAAGAAAATTTGAACACAGGGAACTTCCCAGAGACTCATACTCCAACCAAGGACTATTCATGGAGATAACCTAGAACCCCTGCACAGGTGTAGCCCATGGCAGTTCAGTGTCCAAGTGGGTTACATAGTAATGGGAAGAGGGACTGGCTCTGACATAATCTGATTGGCCTGCTCTTTGATCACCTCCCCCTGAGGAGGGAGCAGCCTTACCAGGCCACAGAAGATGACAATGCAGCCACTCCTGATGAGATCTGATAGACTAAGATCAGAAGGAAGGAGAGGAGGACCTCCCCTATCAGTGGACCTGGGGAGGGGCATGCATGCAGAAAGGGGAGAGAAGGTGGGATCGGGAGGGGAGGAGGGAGGGACTTATGGGGGGATACAAAATGAATAAAGTGTAATTAATAAAAGTTAAATAAAAAATTAAAAAAGACAATTCTAAGTCAACTAGTTTTAATTTTAAACTCACATTTTGATAATTTTTGTTTGTAGTTTTGTGTTATTCTCAGATTTGTAATCATGACATTATTCTAAATTTCTAAAGTAGCTCTTTAAAATAGTGGGAAAGTTAAACAAGGCCTTCGTGCTGGTAGGACAGCCTCTTGTTGGTGGAATTGCTCCCCATGGTCTGGTGAGGTAACACTTAGTTTTGTGATGTTGGGGAGCTGGCTGGAAACAGAATATTGCCTAGCATATGTTCAGGCTCAGATTCCGAGGTGATGACATATATAACTAGAAATAAATTTGTTTGAGACTCTACAGTAGTTCTAAGGTACGTTTATTAACTTTTAAGAACTTCTTTTTTAAGTTCTTTTAATTCTTTTTGCTGTTGTTCTGTTAAAATAAGTAGTGATGAACAAGGTTTGGGAAGAGTAAATTAATTTTGCACTTCAGGAAAAGGACTACATAATCAGTATTCTTGAATTTTCAGGTTCATTTACCTTTAACCAGTCATTCAAAAAACCTTCCTGCAATTATACCTTTCAGCTGAAATATTTAAAAATGGAAGCATAAAGTTGGGAGATACTTTATTAGAATAGACTATAGCTGTTTAGAATCAGTAAGATTCAAGTTGGTAGACTGCTTTAAAGTTGTCTCCTTTCCATCTTTCCCCCCTTTTCTGTAGCTCATACAACTCAGTTTACTCAACCAGGCTGGTATTACCTGAAGACAGTTGGCCATCTAGAGAAAGGAGGAAGCTACGTAGCTCTGACTGATGGCTTAGGAAACTTCACCATCATCGTTGAAACTATGGTAATTTACCATTGTTGGTACTTAGCTAGTGGATATCTCATCTCGTACTCCATCAGAAACTTTGTTTTCAGACAGAAGAAGGGTATTGTGTTCTTCTGGGCATAAGAGGGCACCTCTCCAAGAGTCTTATGACTGGCACACTAGGAGAAAGGTGGGAAAAGGGGACTGGTGGTTACCTTGCTTCTTCTATTGTTTCTAAGACTTCTTTCTATTTAAAGATCTATTGGCCTTGAAGCTCATCATGGCTTTTATGAATACTGCAGTTAACACATGGAGAGTTTCCTGAGAACGTGTGTCAACTCCTGTGGCTGTGCAGCTAGGAGTGGGGCTGCCAAGTTAAACATGGTGAAGAGCTGCCAGCAGCTCATAAGGCTTCCAGTATCACCATGTTGTCTCCAGCAGTTATTGCCCACCTCCTTGCTTATAGCCATTGTCAAGGGTATGAGGCGGTGTCATTGTAGTTTGATTTTCCTTCTCCTAGTGACTAATGATGCAGGTTATTTTCATACATCCCCACTGCCCATTTAAGTTAGGAGTATTTTTATTTTTCTTCTTGAATTGGTAAGAGCTCATTGTATAATCTATTTAAAAGCCTCTCAGAAGACACGTGTGGCTTCCCTTATTTGCTCCCATCCTTATAGTATACTTAGCCAGGCTGATCTTAGATTTATAACCCTGCTGTCTCAGCCTCCCAAATGCTGAAGTCACTATGCCTAACTTTTTTAATGGCATTCTTTGAGGTTAAAAAAAAATTCTAAATTTGTGTGGAAAAAAATTGGGTCTGTCTTTTGGTTTTTCAAGACTGTGTTTCTTTGTGTAGCCCTGGCTGTCTGGACTTGAGTTGTAGACCAAGTTGGCCTTGAACTCACAAAGATCCGCCTGCCTCTGCCTCCCTGAGTTCTGGGATTAAAGCCTGGCAAATTTGAGTTTTTCTTTTGCTTTGTGTGCATTTAGTACCAGATATAGGAAACCACTGACTAATTCAAGGTCATGAAGAGTTGACATTTACAAAGATTTTTTTTTTTTTAATTTTGGTAGGATTGTTGCTGTTATAAGTCTCTTATTTCTTGAAGGGCTTGGCATTGGCTTGGCTTTCTCATTTTGGGTGTATGTGCTGTTATAGCTGTTCTACCATGTTTTGAGAAGTCTGTTTTTTCCTTGAGTTATGTTTACATGTAGTACTGAAAAGCAATCTGTAAGAAATTTGAGAGTTTTTTTTCTGTACTTGTGTTTTCGAGGTCATCATTGCATCTTAATTATTGTGCTTCTAGTGAGAGTTTGGTGTGAGTTTTCTAGCTTTGATCATTTTCAAGATTGGCTATTTTAGGTACTTTGGATTTCAACATGATTTTTAGAACTAGCTAATTATTACAAGCATATAAGCTAAAATTGATATTTTACTTAGTCTGTGCGTGAATGTGGGGAAGCATTGCCATTCTATCCTGCCAGACTAGGGTGCCTTTCTATGCCTTATGTCTGACTTCATTTCTCTATCATATTTAGCCATTTTCATTGTGGAAGCCATATTTCTTTTTATTAATATTATAAATAGGTATCCTATTCTTTTGGAACCCACTATAGATGGGTTCTCTCAATTAAATTTTTATTTCTCATGTAGAAATGCAGTTAATTTTTATGTATTGGTCTTGTCCTCACAATTGGCTCTTTCTGTGAGCTTCCAGGGAATTTTGTTTAAATGAGCATTTCACCTTCAAGTAAGATCCTTTCAGTCCTCCCTTTATTATTATATATTATTATATATCCTGATTGAAGCCCCCTTGCTCAGCTCTTCCTAGTCCCTCCTTCCCTCTTTCCCCTTTCCCCTTCCCCATGTCCACTGAAAGGGGAGTTCTCCCCTTCTGCCATCTACCCATAGCTTATCAGGACTGCCTGGATCCTCTTCCTCTGTGGCCTGGCAAGACTGCATCACTAGGAGCCAGTGATCAAAGAGCAGGCAATCAAGATCATGACAAAGGCAGCCCCTGCTCCCCTTACTTGGGAACCCACATGGAGGCTGAGCTGTCAATAGGCTACATCTGAGCAGGGAGTCTTAAGTCCTCTTCATGCATAGTCCTTGGTTAGTGCATCAGTCTTTGAAGTACCCATGGGGTACTTTTAGTTTTGTTGGTCTCCTTTGTGAGGCTCCTGTCCCCTCTGTGTCCTATCCACCCTACCACTCTGTTCTTCCATAAGACCCCTTGTGCTGTGCCCAAAGTTTGGCTGTGAGTCTGAGCATCTGCTTTAATCCCCTATTAGGTGGAGCCTTTCAGATGACCCTCTCTAGCAGGCTCTGTCATTTGTCCAGTTGTCCTGCCTTGCTGCTGGTCTAGAAGGAGCCCTGTAGAGTGTGCTTGTTAATCTTGGGGGTTTTGTCACTATTTAAAACTTGAGGTAAGGAGCTTGTCTTTTCTCCGAGCATGTTTGAATCCTTTTATCCAGAGTTCTGGATTCCACAGAGTGCACGCTCTTGCAGCTTTTGCCCTTTATTCATTCTAACAGTGTGCTACATGTACTGACTGATTTTCATATGTGGACCCATGTGATCCTGAGATGAATCATTCTTCGACACTGTGCATTATCCTTTGTCTTTGAGGTTGGATTTGATGTCCTAGATTCCTTAGAATTTTCTTTCCTTGTGAAGTTCTATTTGGTTTTGATATCAGAGCAATTACCAGCCACATGGAGTGAATTGGGAATGTTTCTGGAGTATTTCTGAAGGTCTGATATTCTCAACTGTTTGACAAGATTCATATGTGATGCCTCCTCCCCCAAGATTTTCCTTCATGAGAGTTTTAGTTTAACAATCTTTTTACTTACTGTAGGTCTGTTACTGTAGGTCTGTTACTTTTTTCAGAAGCTTTGAAATTTTGTATGTTTTTATCATTTTCTCTTTCTCATTTGTGCTGTCTAGCGCAAAATCCCTTGTTTAGTCAATTTTAGTTGTGTAAAGCTAGGAGTGTTCCTCATTCATTCTCATCTGTAGTTACGGGAGTCCTGTCTCTTTTTTCTTGTTTAGAATTCCAGTTTATCTGTCTTCCCAAGGGAATAATGTTGTTTTCTTCATTTTCTGTATTTTAGTATTTCACAGTAGTATTTATTGTCTTCTTTTTTTGTGCTATGGATTTGGTTTGCTCTTTTGAAAACTGTTAAGCTTCTTGAAGTAGAAGGCCAGCTTATTGGAAACACTTAAACATATATGGGCATGAGTAGCTTTCACTTTGTCTGTATGTGGTACGTTATTTTATCCATTTTATGTTTTGTTTTAACATTTATTATCACAAAGTATATTTTTTACTGTCCATGTGATTTCTTCCTTAACTTAATTTCTCTGTAGCAAGGTATTTATATATCTGTATTTCTTTGGATTTTGCAGCTTTCGTTGTTGATGCTTCATGTTATTGCATTCTGATTGGAGAGCATAGTTCCTGGTGTTTGCCGCACACATGGGCCGCACTGAGAAGGGTACTGAAAGAATAGGTGCTTTGTTGCCTGCGGAATTCCATGTGACTGTTTCTTCTGTTTGGTTGTCTGTGTTCATTTCTTGTTCTGTCTGCTGCTAATAGTGACAAGTAAAGTTTTAGCTGTTATAGAATCATCTCTCTTCTATCCCCTTGTTGTGTTAGTTTTTGTTTTATATTATTTTAAGATTTTCTTGTTCTTATTTCTGATATTTTAATGTATTCTGGTGTTAAACTTTCTCTGTTTATGTTTTTCCTTTTGTTTTTCTCTGCTGCTATTTGTCATTGCTACCTTTTTGTGGCATCTGTTATTATATTTTCTCTCATCTTTACTTTCAGCCTGTTTTTCTGTTTGTGTTTTAATGTAAAGCATGTCCCCTTTCAGTAGCACATAGTTGGATCTTGCTTTCCTTAATCTCATCTGGCATTTTGGTTGGACTGTTGAGTGAGCATTAGTATTGCTGTGGTTTGGTTTAGTTTTTCCTTGTGGTCTTTATTTTCTACAATTCATGGTTTTATTTTAATTTAGCAGTCCTCCTCTGCCATTTTTCTTTATTTTTTTAAATACCGCTTCTCTATTCCTTTAATGATCTTTCCAGTACACTTTAAAAGAGTTGTATCTAAGCAATGGTTTCAGAATTTATTACACATACCTTCCTGCCTCAGGATCACTTCAGATTTAAAATGGATCCTGGGGCAGTGCAGGAATGCTATTCTTCTGTTGTTCCATTCCCTTTAAGCTTTTATAGTTTCTCATTTTATTGTAAGTGCCACACCTCCAACAGAAAGTTAAAAAAAATGCTGTGAAATTGCTACTTTGTATGTAATTTTTAAAAAAGCCAAGAGAAGAAAAGAGAACAGTACATATTTATATACATATACATTCATTTTATTTATGGTTGTGGTTTTTTAGATCTGTTTCTATGTATTTAAGTTAGCATTAGGGTCATTTCCTTATTCTAAGCTTTGGCCAGCCACTCACAGTATACATTCATAAAGTTATGTTAGCAAATTATTTTTTATAATCTGAAATAAGTTCATATTGTTTATAAATGTTTTCCATTCCTGCTATTTAATGATTCCCCCACAAAATAGCTTGTGTGTTATTGGATAACTTACATGACTTTCTTCCCACAGAGTTATAAACATTCTATATGTATACGGCCATACCTACCATATTATAATGTCTCAAACCAGATAGCTACCTTCACTCTAAAGGGATCTTTGGTGAGTACATGTATTTGACTTTTATTTTGATTTAAAATGTTAAGTTAGGATTGGAGAGAGGGCTCAGAGATTAAGAGTGCTTGTTGCTTTTCCAAAAAATTGGGAAGCAGCCTTGCTAAGCAGCTTACAGCTACATATAACTCTAGCTGCAGAGGATCTGATGCCCTCTTCTGGCTTCCAAAGGTCACACACGTGAACTTACAGAAACACAAATAATAAAAAATATAAATCTTTAAAAGTTTATGAAAATTTTATGTTCTATTACAGGCCATCAATTCTTAAGTGAAATAATGTATTAGAGAATTACTAAGAATTTGCATATGAGTGGATGCCTGCCCTGGTGCCTTGTACCTCCTGACTCTTTTCTTTTTAGACACAGTCTTCCCTACTTTTTCTTCCAACAGATTTTTTTCCAAGCATCTTTATTTTTTATTTCTATTAATTACAGTTTATTCACTTTGTATCCCCTCTATAGCTCCTTCTCTCCTCCCCTCCCAATCTGACCCTCCCTCCCCCTTCTCCATCCATGCCCCTCCCCAAGTCCACTGATGGGAGAGGTCCTCATCCCCTTTCTTCTGATCCTAGTCTATCATGTCTCATCAGGAGTGGCTGCATTGTCTTCCTCTGTGGCTTGGTAAGGCTGTTCCCCCCTTAAGGGGAGCTGATCAAAGAGCAGGCCAGTCAGTTCATGTCAGAGACAGTCCCTGTTCCCATTACTATGGAACACGCTTGGACACTGAACTGCCATGGGCTATATCTATGCAGGGGTTCTAGGTAATCTCCATGAACAGTCTTTAGTTGGAGTATCAGTCTCAGAAAAGACCCCTGTGCCCAGGTTTTTTGTTCTGTTGCAACAGATTTAATACATCTGATTTTATGTTGAGGTCTTGATCCCCTTGGACTTTAATTTGTGCAAGGTGATAGATATGAGTCTATTTGCATTTTTTCTACGTGTGGGCATCCAGTTAGACCAGCACCATTTGTTGAAGATGCTATTTTTTTCCATTGTATGATTTTGGCATCTTCGTCAAAAATAAGGTATCTTTGATCACTTCCCTTTGGCGATGTGGCCTTGCCAGGCCACAGAACAAGAAGATCCAGGAAGTCCTGATGAGACTTGATAAGCTAGGGGCAGATGTCAGGGGAGGAGAACTCCCCCTTTCAGTAGACTAGGGTAAGGGGATAAGGAGGAAGAGGGAGGGAAGATGGTACCGGGAGGAGTTGAGGGAGGTGGCTACAGTTGGGATATAAAATGAATAAATTGTAAAAAATAAAAATATTAGAGATATAATATAGGATAAACATTCTAAAATCTGTACACCTAAAGAAGCTAAACAAGAAGGAGGACCCTCGGTAAGATGCTCAATCCTTACTCAGAAAGGAAAATGTGATGGACATTGGAAGAGGGAGAAAACTGGGAATATGACAGGAGCCTACCATAGAGGGCCTCTGAAAGACTCTACCCAGCAGTGTATCAAAGCAGATGCTGAGACTCATAGCCAAACTTTGGGCAGAGTGCAGGGAATCTTATGAAAGAAGGGGGAGATAGAAAGACCTGGAGGGGACAGGAGCTCCAAACAGAGAGTAACAGAATCAAAAAATCTTGGCACAAGGGCCTTTCTGAGACTGATACTCTAACCAAGGACCATGCATGGAGATAGCTTAAAACCCCTGTACAGATGTAGCCCATGACAGCTCAGTCTCCATATGGGTTTCCTAGTAAGGTGAACAGGGACTGTCTCTGACATGAACTCATTGGCTGACTCTTTGATCAGCTCCCCCTGAGGGGGGAGCAACCTTACCAGGCCACAGAGGAAGACAATGCAGCCAGTCCTGATGAGACTTATAGGCTAGGTCAGATGGAAGGGAAAGAGGACCTCCCCTATTAGTAGACTTGGAGAGGGGCATGGGAGGAAAAGAGGGAGAGAGGGTGGGTTTGAGAGGGAATGAGGAAGGGGGCTACAGCTGGGATACAAACTGAATAAACTGTAATTTATATAAAAAATAAAAATTATTAAAAAATAATTTTGAGCTTAACAAAAGAGACATAGTCTTATGTAATCTAGGCAGGCCTCATTTAAACAGGCTTTGTGAGCATCCAGCCTTTATTTTCTGAGTACTGGGGTTGCAGACATGTGCACACACCTGGTTCAGGTAGTGCTGGGTGAAGAAACCAGGGTCTTTTGCTTGTTTTGTTAGTTAAGCCCTCTACCAACTGAGGCATGCCAGTACCCTATAAAGCTGTCTGTGATCTTAGCCTCAGTGTGTGGTCTAAGGATCCCCCTTTTTGTGTGTTTGTTTGTTTGTTGTTTTGTGTTCATTTTTTTGTTGTTGTTGCAAACCACATGAGGATCTTTTTATTACAAATTACAAGCTGCAGCTTGGGCCCACACACCCCACTGCCGAAGTGGTGAGGGCCAAGAGACCTGTGCTCAGGTTAGTATGGTGATTTAAAGATTTTGGTCCTTCCCAGAGTGCCCAAGGCATGGGCAATTCCTGCCTGGCAAGCATCTATTGGTCAAAATGCTACATTTTGAATTGATTGGTTATAGGAAGGTCCCCAAACCAATAATGATCTGGTGTCCCTCCCTAGGGGGATGAGCCAGTTTCCTAGCAACTGTATCTCTCGTGGGTGGGAAAAGAATGCAGTACAGCAGGTTCTTCCCCTCAGGGCATTACTGGACCTCACCCGGCAAGTTCAGGCCTTAAACTTTAATAATAACTGCTGATTTAAAAAATCTTTTGGTCTCTCATTCCCCACTTCCCATGATCATTTGAAGACCCAATCTTGGGTTTTCCAGGTATGACCCCTTGTATCCTATAGATTTACCTTTTTACAATGGGATCTAAGTACCATTAGTGTATTGCTCCCAAATATTTTTTCATGAGAGCCATTAAGCAATTTAAAATACAAGGCCCAAAGATAAAAATCAAAATGAGTAGGGGTCCCTTCAGGGTGGATATATGGGTAGTAAGCCAAGGAGAACTATTATCCTTTGTCTCTAGTGTCTCTCTAGGCTTTTACTCCAGTTGCTGCAATACTAGTTCCCATTTCAGCTAAGCAGGTGCCCAAGATAATAGCTAATGTCAGGGAGCCCCTTTTGACTTAGCATTTCAGCCTGCTAGGTGGGATTTGGGGCTGAAGATCCATCTTCTGGAGCTTCTTCAATGCTGACAATGGACCATTGGCATCAAGGGCTAGGGAGGCTGAAATGCTAGTGAAAGGCTGAGCAATGGGGCAGTCCCAAGCACCTGGTTAGTTGATCCAATTGAAGAAATGGGGAGCGATCTCATCAGCTTTCAGCAAGTCCAAATTTCAGCTCACAGTCTATTGTTTGTTTTTTAAGACAGTGTTTCTCTGTATAGCCCTAGCTGTCCTGGAATTCATTCTGTAGACCAGGCTGTCCTTGAACACACAGATTAAAGGGATTAAAGGGGTACACCACCACTACCTGGTGAGGAGTTTTCAAACACTGAAGTTTAGAGTATTCTAAACTGAAAAGCAAACAAAACAAAATAAAGCCAAAATCAAACAAAAATACCCCAAAATCACCATTTAAAAAAAGAATCTCTTATCAGATTTGATTTGGAAGAACCTGGTGTGCTTTTTTATTAGTAATGCCATAGAATTAGTTTTTATGTGAGAGAAGTATTAGGGGACCAGCAGGGCTGAAAGGGAGAGAAGAGAGTCTATGGGGTGAGGGACAGGTGGAACCAACAAGAATGCAACATATATATGCATAAATTGTTAAGGGAATGAAACTTAGAAATAAAAAATAGACAAAGCATCTAATAATTGTAATCAGGAAACAGTATAGTTTTTCTAATACCTAGCAAAGGGAAATTAGATCACAAAGAACAGAGTGAAATAGTTGTATTCTGTATTTCATTAAACATCTGACTCCAGGAAGCTGGAAGGCTTCAGAAAGAGGCCCTGATACAGACATTTTAAAGTATTAAGGTATTAATTTCAGGATATGATGAATCTCTCAAGCAATCCAACAGTTGTCTCTAAAACCAAGCCAAAAACTGTTTTGTTAAAAAATTTCAAGCTCATGTTATCCATTTATTTATCTAAAGCATGTGACCAAGACACCCAGAGCCACTCTAATGTTAAGGCTACTCAACTACCCGTGGACGCTGTTACTCAGAAACCCTGAGAAGCCAATTGAAATGTTTTTCCCCAAGTTTTTAAAAGTCATGTGGATCTGTTACTTTTCATGTAGTTCATCTGTGAACATGGAGATTTATCTCCTTTTATGTGTCTATATGTCTAGAATTATTATCATTGTCAGTGTGGCACTTACGTATTACTGACTTAAGTGAAATATTATGATTATATAATAATGATAATTATTAAAGTATGAAAAATAATTTAAGATATTTTAGAACATATTAATTATTCATATAAAAGCATCAGTTTTTTGGTTATTATCTATCAACATATCAGATCAATATTTCCTTAACATTTTTGCAGTTATCATAATATATTTTTTGAAGAAAAATATTAGCATATAATGACTACCTTTGAACAAGTTCAATTTTATATGATGACAATAAGATACAAGAAGGCAGAAGAAAGCAGTCTAAGATTCTATAATAATAAATAGATGTTTTAAAGTAAACAATAAAATGTTTAACAAAGTTTTTGCGTAGGGAAAATGAGTGTTTTGAAGTGAAAACAGACACTAAGATCTGTTTTTAACATTTGCCAGTGTCCTCAGGTGTTAATGAATGCGATGGGTTCAAAGAGTAGAGATTATTGTCACAATGCTTCCCCTGCTGCAAAAGGAGGCATGAGCAGGCTTCTTCAGGAACCCTGTACATAGTCAGAGAGGAAAGAACCAGGCACATTCCAGAGCATACTGAGTTACTGTGGAAGTTTAATAAGGAAAGGTAATAGACACAATCTGGGCCTACCTAGGGCAAGATCACAGAACACATGTTCAAAAGGAGAAGGTAGCAAGAACACTTCTGAGCATTATAATGACGTAGCTGCTTTGATTCCCTAAGACAATGCAAGTCAATGTCCCCAGGGCTGTGTTGGTTTTCCTCAGGTTTCTCTGAAGTGTCTTAGCTGAAACAACAGAAAAAGACAAGTGTGGAGATGTGTTAATTCAGGCGTTTGTTGCTGGTGGTGCCTGCTTTGCTTAGTGGCTAGTGTTGGTAGGAAATGAAAGACTTGCTTGAACATTATCTTCCTGTTTTCAAAGTGTTACTTTTTTTTTTTTTTTTACAATTTATTCACTTTGTGTCCCTCCTGTAGTTCCCTCCTTCATCTCCTCCTAGTCCCACCCACCCTCCTTTTCCCCCAAGGGGAGGAGGTCCTCCCCTATCAGAGGATTGGCAAAGTGTTACTGTTTAAATCTAGAGATGGTTCTTTCAGCAATTGGACACAGTGGATGCTGCTTTCTTTTTAAGGTATTAATTTCAGGAGAAGGTGAATCTCTCACCATTCTTTCTTGTGTTTTTCTCCCCAGAGAGAAATACAAGAGCTCCAGGTGTGGTATACCAAGCTTGGAAGACCAACGGAGAAACTTCATTTTATACAACTGGATTCTCTATGGGTAGTCTTAAAATTGATTTCTATGTTTGGGGCATTACAACAGTAAAAAGGAACAAATCTGATTAATGAATTACAATGAAGTTGATTTTATGGCTACAGAACAGTAGAGATAAAAAGTTCCCAAAGTTTCCTAAAATAGAAGTCCTGATTAAGGCATGAGAAGCTTGTTTGTTTATAGCTGTGCTCTGTTCCTAAATGCTAGTTTATGCTGGTAAATGTGCCAAGCAAGAGATACATGTCTCATTTGAGATTGTCCTCCTCTGTCCCGGTCTGCATCCCCATGGCAGTTGACTGTAGGCAGATCTGCCCTCTGCGTATTTCTACTCATTATTGCTCCCTATTCTCCCCATTCCTTCTTTCCGCTCAGAAAGTGTTCCTGGTTTCAACAGACTCCAGCCTGAGTCTCAGGGCCAGCCATCACAGTGCTATTAGAATGTTGTGCCTAAAATGCTTTGTTTGGATGTGTCAGCAGTTTTCTTCATCAGTTCATATTCCCCACATGATTCTCACTGTCCTGTCACATGACTGTCACTCTCCTCTTATGAGGTAGAAGAGATTTCCTTTCCAGATGCAGATCTTAGTAGCTGGCCTCTCCTCACAGAGTAAACTTCACAAACAGCTTCCCTCATATCTGTGAAGACATGGCAGCTCAGGTGTCAGGTTCTTTGAAGCTTTGCTCACCTGGCCCAGGGCAAGAACTATGTGTGGATCATGTTAAACACATGCCAGCGTTTGGGCTACCTTGAGATTGGGGCTCTGCCTTATTTTGTCTTTAGCCCAGAGGCATATGGTGCTTAGTACTTAGTGATTCCTCAGCAAAGATTCAGAGAATAAACTGGTCCCAGCAAGCACATTACATTATCAGATTTACCCAACCTGCTGCAATTTTAATAATTATTACTGTTATAATTAGCTAATCAATATCAATGGTTAAATACCCATTAGAACATTCTCTACTTATATAATAATTTGCTGGAAATAGCATAATGAAATTGATCTCTGCTATAGGAATATTATTCGGAGTTAATTCTGAGTCACAACATGGCATCAGATAGATGTTCATGGTTCTGCATCTATTTACTCTTAAGGCAGATAAGGCACTCTAAACCCTTTAATTCAGTGTAGATAAAAAACTTATTAAAATTTTAAAGTTGAGTTCAAGTTCATTGCCCACATTAGTTATGTAAGAATCCTAATGTCTCCAGAGGACTGTGCTTCTACAGGAACTATGCCCTAGAGAGTATTTTCCCTGGCCATATGCTGAGGTGAGCTAAGCAAGACCTTTATAAACATTTGGCTTACTCCTCACAGCAGCCCTCTGAGGTATCTATTCTTAGCCTCGAGGATGAGATGAAAAACTAGATAAAAAAATTTAACATAAATCTAACCTACTAATTGAAATTTAGTCAGAGTATATAATGAACAGATTTTAATTTTTATTTCTCAGTTTTAAAATGTTCCTTGTGCCTAAGAGTTGGGCCGCTTGTGAAGTTTTGTGGATTCTTTTCTTTTAGTAAAGCTCCAAAAGAAGCAGGCAGGCCTCTGAGTTGTAATAACTGAATGTGTACAAGCTTTAAAGAGCTTACAGTGTAATGGAAGAGTCGGCTACCAGCCACCGACTCCGTGTCCTTTCCCCCTAACAGAGTGACTGTCTAAGCTTGTTTCTTTCAAAGCTGTCTTCTCCCTGCTACCTGGCCTTGAATGTGGGGCTGTTTTCTTTTCCAGCTCCTTGACAACAGTGGCAGCTTCACACTGGAATTGCAAGAGGATGAGATATTCACACTCACCACTCTCACTGCAGGTCTCAAAGGCACCTACCCTCCTGCTCCCACATCGAAGCCCTTCCCAAGCAGCTACAAGGATGATTTCAATGTTGGTAAGCAGCTCACCATCTATGGAAGTAGGGTGGAGTCTCTTCTTGTCAGACTGGGTAAACAATAGTGTGATGTCGTAAGCACGCACGTTAGCCTTTAGAGCAGGCAGTAGTTCTAACCTTCCTGTGCTGCAACCCTTTAATTCGGTTCCTCTGTTGTGCTGACCCCCAGCCATACAATAATTTTTATTGCTACTTCATAACTGTAATTTTGATACTGTTGTGAATCATAATACAAATAGCTAATATGCAGGATATCCAATGTGTGACCCCTGTGAAAGGTTTGTTTAACTCCCTTTCCCCCCAAAGGGGTTATGATCCACCAGTTGAGAACCACTGCTTTGAGTTTTATTTGGTTAAAAGATAACCAATGTTTTTAGTTTTTTGAGATGAATTTTTATCTTTCAGTTCCAGAAAAAAAAAAAAAAAGAAAGAAAGAAAGAAAGAAAACACAGAAGTTGTTGTGAGGATGAAAGTTATAATTCTAAGCTGTCCTGGGTAAAAGTTAGGATGTACAGCTGGGTAGTGCCTCCTTGGCTATCACTGGTGTTTTTCGTCCAGGTGGAGGCTAGGCCGAATTATGTTCCTGTCTCAGGGCCAGGGTATTGAGTGCCTAGGCGCAGTTACACTGCAGTTGGGGGCTCCAGCTCATTGTTGTGGAGGTTATAGCCTAGCCCTCCGGTCTTTAAGAGATGCTGCTGTAAAGGAGAAGCCTTGCTGGAGCAGTTGGGGAAAAGCGTTTGAGAACAGAGGCTCGCTCGTTGTGCTTGTATCTCTAGAGGACCCAGCACACAACAGCATGTGGTTACTAAATGTTTGGCAGGACTGAAGGTTTCAAAGATGAGTTAAGTAGCTCGATAATCTGCTTCCAAAATTGACAGCTGGAGAAAAGCAACAGTGAAAAGATGAGCATTTCCAAGGTGATGTACCTGTACCCTCCTGCAGGGGCAGCACTGCTGTTCCACCCAACATGGAGACTCCTGCCTCTGCCACATTCTCATGGCAGGGTGACCTTTCAGCTGATTGGCATAGAGAGGCAGACTCTGCTACAGGCATCTGGTCAGTTATTTGGAGATGTATATATTTGCATATGTATCACAAATACATCACACACACATGAATCTTATGATCTAAACTTTGATTGGTTATAAAGTATTGATAGTTTAAAAATGATGCAGAAGTGTTTCACAGTGTACCACAGATAACAGAAAGGAGAGATATGGTAAGGGACTGATAATCAGCCACTAAGTGGAGGATTTGTTGTGTTCTGAACAGATTACCCATTTTTTAGTGAAGCTCCAAATTTTGCTGACCAGACTGGCGTATTTGAGTACTACAAGAATAACGAAGACCCCGGACAGCATCGCTCCACACTGCGTCAAGTTCTCAATCAACGACCTATTACCTGGGCTGCTGATGCCTCCAGCACAATCAGCATTATAGGCGATTACCACTGGTGTGTGAGAGAGATGCCCTCAGTGTATAACTTTGTGATTCTGGGTACATTGTGAGTGTAGAGGTTCCCATAGCCCTTCTTGTGTTAAGAACCTAAGGCAGGTGACCTCAAATGAGCAAATTAGTTTCCATCTCCTTCTCTCAGGTTATTCCAGGTTGATAATAACTGTGGTCATAGAAATTTAGCTTTAATAAGAGAATTGAGAATTTCTGGGCCCAGTTATAGTTTAGTATTTATTTGCAGGCCTTGTGATTTGAGTACTTTCAGTTTTACCAGACCCGATTTGTTGAAGTCGAGTTGCCACCTGCTGGACAAACGGTAGAATTACATTCCTGTAGCTAGTGTGGGAAGCTGATTAAGAAGCAGACCAGCTTTAATTGCTAAGGCTAAAGCAAGTCAGCCCTTTCTTCAGATATATGGTAAACATTACAAGTTATAATTCTTCCAGTTAAAACACAGTTGGAAAATCAAAATTTCATCTTCACATTTAATTTAGTTGTGGGATTTTAGGTTGTATTTTCTATTTAGGTTGTATTTCTAATTTCATTATGGACACATACACACCCACAGTCACTTTCTCTCTCTCTCTCTGTCTTTCTCTCTCTCTCATCACCAAGCCACCTTATCTAGAGACTGGAAGTTAGAAAAGTACAGAAAGTCATTCTTTTCTTGGTATTTCCCCAGTCTTGTTTATAAATCCAGACTCCAGCCCTGAGTTCTGACTTCAATTTTGAGAAACCTTCAGCATGCAGCTTCTGGAACCCTTACCTACATGGAACCATGCAGCAGCACCACTGAGGCACAGAGACATGTGTTTCCTATGCCATTTGGTGGCTTCCCTCCTTACACAACAGAAGTGACTGCTCTTCTCACCGTCTGTGACGTTGATGCTTTCATGAACGCTCTGATCATGGCGGAATTTGTGCTTTCCTCATTTATGTTAATGATTTTGTAGGTGGGTTTGGGCTTAAGGGTCCAAGGCGTGGGCCCCATTATCTTGGCCATCAATTTGGAAGCTAGCCACCATAGGAAATCTTACTTTTCTGTGTCATTCCTGTCTCTGTGTCCCTGAACACTCTGGTATACTTTCTTTAAATTCAAACTCTCCTATTTCTCAATTAAATGCCAAAAAAACTGAGACCCCCTTAACTGGAGTAGAGAGATAAGGTATAGCACTAGCTGAAGATTAACAAAAGCACCCTCAGGTAAATAGTTTATACGGGTTAGATAACTATACTCAGTCTTGGCAGTGACCTGTTGCAGAGGGTAGAGAGCTGAGAGAGTGGGGAGAGGAGGAGAGACTGACACCCTGGAAGGAAAGGATGTAGCAAGTAGCACTTGTCCTGTCAGGGATTCTCTAGCCCTGAGCTGCATTTCCCACATGCTGTTCTGTTCAGGGATACCAAGAGACTCCCCTGCACCGGAGTAGTGCCACACTTTGATGCTTAGTTTCCATGTTGCTGGCTTAGTTTCATCCTGTTTTAATTTCCAAAACTGTAACCTCTATTTGAGGCAGCAGTATTTGTTCAGAAAGCCACACAGATGCCATGCCTGCTACTGTGGGGCGGGGAGGGAATGAGAACTGGGTAGCCAAAGGCACTTCTGCAATTTCACAACCTCTGATGGCAGATGCATTGCTCTCAGCTTGTAGATTGAGAAGCTGAGGTTTTGAAATAACCTTTCATAAAATGACAGGACCAGGACTTGAACCCAGGCTCTGTTTCTGTGGGCTACGCCCGAAGCCCTGCTTTAATCGGCCTGTTTCTTCCTCACACTAAGACAGGGAAGATCAGTTTTGTGCAGGGCTGTTTGAGTAGAGCAGCCCTCCTTGCTGTGCATCAGAGCCTGCCTCTGCCTTACCTCTTGTTGAGAACTAGTGGAGTCATTTGAGCATGAAGGGCAGGCCTTGCTGAAGCGATATGTAAGAAGTTCTGTCTTCTAATGAGGTTTGGTTGTGATCTGAAGATTACTACAAAATAACTTCTTGCACACAGACGAATTCTCTGTTACTTTAATCAGATTTTTAAAAATGTGGAAGGTTTTCTTCTCTTAGAGTGACTAGGAGTATGGATGTGGAATATAAAGCACACTTTATATTCTTTATTATATACAAACTATTCAGCACATTCTAATGCAAGAACCAGTTGTTCAGGAATGTAATACAGAGAAAAAGAGAAAAAAAAACCCTTTCATTTTCTCTCATTCTTAACCATAATAGGCTTGTGGTACTGACAGTGTGTAGTTCACTTTTAAGCCTGTGATGAATGCGGAAGTGGGTAGATGTGAGTAGATGTGGGTAGATGTTAGTGTCTTTATGCCAGTCAGTGTTTACACAGGGAGGAACTTCCTGATGTCAGAGCATGTAGGAGAGATATGGCTTGACTGACTTAGTTCAGTCCTCCTGTAAAGCAGCCCAGAGAATTAAATGCGGCCCTTCCTGAGTGAGTACCTAAAATAAGTGCCCTTTAGACATACATACACAAACACACACATGCACACATGCATGAACACACTCTCATCCCTCCTCTCTCCTTCCTCCTATGTGTGGTAAAGTTCATCTGTGCACAGTTCACTTAAGAAGAAAGTTTGAGGAATGTAAAAGACATATAATTCAATGTCATCCTACCTCATGTCCAAAATGGATGTCTTGTCCTTAGTCTTACTTTAGATAAATTGCAGGATTTATGTCTTGACAATATGCACACTTTCTTCCTCTTTGCTGTTAGATAATTGCACATGACGTGGTGTTTTCAGGGATGATAGTTAGAATGCTGGCATTGTCTCAGAGGGAAAGTGCTGTGCCTGGTAACTAGCCCAAAGAGGGCTGACTCTAAAGGCTCTGATAGCTCCTGCCTGGCAAGGTCTTTCCCCACCTTTGATACACCCGTGGACCACTGAGTCCATAAACAGTGCTGTTTTGCAACTGTAAAGGCAGACGTCCCGTGAAGTGTAAAATGCATCACAAAAGGAGATATGCAGACCAGCATCATCATATTATTTGGAAAGGGACCATTCAAGCTCAGATTTACTGAGCTGACAACTGGAGATGGTATCATTGGGCTAAGCTAACATGAAGCCTTTGTTATATTTCAGTGGTCTTACTGCAGAATCAACACAAAATACTATCTTCATATGTTTTGAGATTTAGTTTTTATGTACTTGGGCGTTTTGCCTTCATGTATGTCTGTGTGCCATGTGTGTGCAGTCCTGGCAGCATCCAGAGAAGGCATCAGATCTTCTGAAACTGGAGTTGCAGACGGTTGTGAGCCGCTGTGTGAGTGCTGGGATTTGAACCAGGGTCATCTGGAAAGGCAGTCAGTACTCTTAACTGCTGAGCCTTGACGGCAGCCCCCAAACTGACTATCATATTAGAGACAGAATTTAGTGAGCTCTTTACTTGGGGGCGTTTAAATCCTGATAGATGTAAATGTACACACTAGCTTCATGTAAGTTCTGCAGCCATTGCTGCAAGAGCGGCATGCATCCCCGCTGATGGAAATAGGAATAAACCTTTCTGTTCAGAGTCACTGGAAACTGCCTTCATGGCACTGTACAGGTCTCACACTTGCAGGATGACATAGTATTTTTGAATAGCTAGACAAGAAACATGCTGTTATGGTGCTAAAACTTGTAAATATTGCCCAACAACTCACTAAAAGAATCAACAAAGTTAATCAATTTAGGCATGTAAAACTTAAAACAGCCATCAGTGAAGATTCTGGAAGTCCATCCGTGCTACAAGCCTAAGTAAGATGTAGCAAGTCACTCTTCCAGCTGAAGATTGGAGGCTTTTGCTGTACAGTGTCATGTTAGTACTGGATTATAGCATAACTGAAGAGGGTAATTGACTCTTTGGTTCTGCAGGACCAACATGACTGTGCAGTGTGATGTTTACATAGAGACCCCTCAGAGAGGAGGCGTGTTCATTGCTGGAAGAGTGAATAAAGGTGGCATCTTGATTAGAACGGCTGCAGGAGTTTTCTTCTGGATTTACGCAAATGGATCTTACAGAGTCACAGCTGACCTGGGTAAATGACATGGTTTAATGGCTCATACTTTGCCTTGAGACTGTCTGAAAGTGTCTGTATCTAGTGGAAAGAATGTCAACATGGCCCAGCAAGCATTAAGCTATTTAAAACCATAGCTATTTAATTTGTGAAGAGAAGGGCAGCTCAGGAAATGAGAAAATAGAAGGCTGTCAGGACATTCACGCGTGCAGTGCTGGGATGGTTTGTGAAGATCTGCGAGAAGCAGGGATGGGAGGAAGAATATCTGAGGAGGCACTCGAAAGACTAGAAACTCTAGTGCTATGGAAATCAAGGAATAGGTTCAGCCTCCTAAAATGTGGTGGTAACTTCTTCAATTCTCAGTCTCTCGACTGACCTGCACTAGTAACTTAAAAAAAAAAAAAAATCTGTTCTTTGCCCCAGCTCTGGAAATAAAATAACAAAAAGGAAACAGGAGGTGAGAATGTCATCATCATGTCACCCAACTAGGGGGTATGTCACTGAGTTTTTGATCCAAAGCAGAGCCAAAGACATGCATTCATTTTCCCAAGTCCCCAAAAACTAGTTAGTGGTGAGACTGGAACTAGAAGTTTCCATCTGCATCTCAGTCCCCTGATTTGAAACTGTAGTAGTTTTAAATCACCTGCTTGATGTCTAATCCTAGGTTTCCAGGCATTCAAATGTCATACATGCAAAATTAGTTTATTATTCATCTTGTAAGTAGATTCTGTTTTCGCGTGAGCAGATCTACTAGCTGGCAGTCTTTTGTAGTCTTATCCATGGGCTTAGATGCTGATATATCAGACAGTTAGTTTTAATGTTTATCTCATGCCTTCTGCTGTGATGCACATGTGTTTTATGGTGTAGAATAGAATCTTAATACATGCTTCTGTAGTGTATAGCTGAATGAGGGATTTTCCTTTCAAATCAATTGTAGATCTGGAAATGAAGGGCCAGTGTTAACTTAACTATATATAGCTGCCATTTACCAACCTCCCAGAGTTGTGTGATCCTGGGATTTAGGTTTTAAAAGTAGGCCAGTTGAGATATTTTGTTTTTCTTTGTGTGTGTGTGTATTTTACAGGTGGGTGGATCACATATACTTCAGGACGTGCTGATATCACAGCAAAACGATGGTATACACTCACCTTAAGCATTAAGGTGAGTATTGCTGATGAGAAAGAATGGGGATAAAATGTTTGTGTAACTTCCTAGAATTTTTTGTTATAAAACAAATGGAAGGATATGATTTAAGATGAAAAGAGGGAGCCTGCTATGGAATCACTAAACCCATCCATCCACAGGATAAAGTTGCATGTCAAAGTCATCTTATGAGAACCAGTAGTTGATTTTTTTAGACCAATCTTTTCTTTTATAACTTTGTTTTTGTGTTTTAAATCGAGGGTATAATTGGTTAAGTCAGCAAATGAACTGAATTTTTTATTGTTCTTCAACCAAGAATATAAATAAAATTTATAGGAATATGTAAAATAATAGAATCTTCTTTCTGATAGAATCATTTTGCTTTAACCGTGAGCACAATTTTCTACAGTTTTTATTATTAGAGAAGATAACTAGAGTAATCATATGATAAAGGAAATCTAAAAACCATCATCAGCATCCGTGGTTGATCATGAGGTACTGACTGACAGCGTTCCCAAAGGATGCTGTGTAGAGAAAGTGTCTTGTAATATGTGACTCTCCCAAAGTAGTTCTTTCATACTTTTGTTTAGGTTGTAAGTAGAAATTGAAATTGAGATTCAAAGAACTTTTAAATTTGATCTCTGTTCCCTTCCAGTCACTAAAAATGGGAATTCTGACTTTTAAGATGTTTATTCATAAAGTTGAGGATCTAGTTGAGGTGTAGTGTAGTTTATTTGACCCTAACATTCGTACTGGACATAATTTGTTATAATGGTTCTTGAATAGAATGATCCCAGACACAGTTCCTGAATGCTTATGTGGTATTGTTGGCGAAGGCAAGCACTAAGAATTGCATTTTATTTCTTAAATGATTGTTGAGGATTTTATATAATGTATTTTGGTTATATTCACCCCTCCCCATTTTCTACCATGTTTACTCTTCTTCCCTACCCACATAATAACTTTGTGACTTCTTTAAAAACAACAGCAACAAAAACCCATCAAGTGCATTTATGCTGCCCATATCCTCTTGAGTCTGTGGTGATTCATCTGAGTGTGTTCCATCTGCTAGGCTCCACATGCACAGTGGAAACTGACCTCCTCTTGCTGTGGTTCTCAATTGCTACTGGCTCCTCAGCCAGAGGTGGGACTTCAGACCCACCTGTTCTCCACATGTTGGAATGCTGTCTGCCTTCGGCTTGCATGGGCTTCATGCATGCTGTCACAGTTGCTGTGATGTGGTGTGTACAGCTGCCCTGTGTTTTCCTTAGAGTCCCTCAATTCCTCTGCCTCCTTTTCCACCATGATCCCTGAGCCTTGGGAGGATGGGGTATAATGTAGGCGTCCTATTGAGGGTGGAACATTTATAAGTTTCTCATTCTCTGCACCTTACCCCAGGGGTAGGTCTCCATGTTAATCGCTGTCTACTGCAAAAGGAAGCTTCTCTGATGAGGGTGGAAAATGTATTAATTTTTGATTATAGGCTTAAGTCACTAAGAGTTGGCTTAATATTATGTTCGTTGAATGGAATAATAGTAGTGGTGGGATCTCTCCTGGATCTTATGATCTGTCTAGCCAAAATATTTTGGTCCTGATAATAGTGACAGGTAGGTAAGAGAAACACTAAAAGGTCTATTCCTAGGTCTAATTCTGTCACTAATGGGTTTTTGAGACTTGGGGCAAATCAGCTTAACCTCCGCTGCTTCTGATTTGGAAATCAGATCAGCCATGTTGAAATTCTCCCTTGCTCTGACTTCCTAATAGGGAAGTTAGAGAAGGGTGTGCTGAGTGGATGATGCTTGAGTTCAGATGTAAATGAGGCAAGGAAACAAGCTGAGCAGCAGTAAAGGCAGCTGGCCCCGCCTTGTGTAGGGAGCATCTGGGAAGCCAGGATGACTGGAGCCTGGGGAGTGGACAGGAGGCACTGTGTCCCCATGCTCAGGCTGTACTTTAATACGGTGTGTGTGTGTGTGTGTGCGTGCGCATGCAAGTGCATGCCTGCCCGTTGACCCAGTGCTAACAGAAGTGGCAGAGGAAGTCCAGGGAGTGCTTTTGAGATGGAGACAACTGGGCAGATGTGTTGTCAGAGGCATTGGCCTCACATTGGGTATTAGGTGACTTGGATTCAATTCCTGGCTCCTCTGGAAAATTTTTGACATGAAATTTCAGTCAGCCCAAGCATTGGTGTCTCCATCCATAAAATTAAAAAGAATTGCATTATAATTTTGGATCAGAAAGATTTGTGTTAAGTTTTGGCCTAATGGTTCAACTCTCAGGCTCTTTATCTTTTGAAAGTAGTTTGTTTTACATGGCTAGCTGTGTACTTGGAGTGCTTTTGAGTGTGTTCTCATAGTGTGCTATAGCAGTGGTAATAAATATTGAAATTTACCATTTACTGTGTGCCAGACAGTGAGAGAAATGTAATGGCCAGTTTCTGACAAAGCCATACTTGGTTTCTTTGCATCATTACTGGTAAATCATACCTTATGTGCACTTTGCTCCTACCGCTTTGCCCCATTGTTCTATTTAACCATGGCTACTGCTCTTCTGATTTCAGAGTAGGCAATCCATAATGGCTTTGTAGTGACATGCTTCTCGTTTGGACAAAAAGACTGAATGAAGGCCAATTTCTCCTCTGCCTGAGTGCACAGCCCTTAATTGAGACCTTAAGTACACAGCAGTTTGCAGCAGGCCTTTGGGCTCCAGCAATCTCTGGAGGGATCTCTCCACTTAGCCAAAATACCAGTAGTGCGATTGCAGAGTTATTTTAATAGGCTTTTGTCTGAAGGGTCATAATGCTATAAAATATTATAGGCCTAGTTTTTGGTCTTGATTTTGGGTGGAACATCAGGAAATGCCGGGGTTTAATGTATTTGGGGAACTGTTTTAATAGGTACTATTTATCAATTCTTTCAGAAAATTTTTGATGTATTTCATACCTTTGTAAAACACATGAAATCTATTTTACAGTTCTAGGTCTTGGGTAAGAGAGACATTTGTTCCACTAAGTAGCTGAGCTACATTCTTAAACAGACTTCAGAGCAACATTTACATTTTCAAGGGACATGTTTCTCTCTTCTACAGGGTTATTTCGCCTCTGGCATGTTGAACGGCAAGGTCCTGTGGGAAAATGTCCTGGTGAAATTCCCAGAAACTGGCTGGGCTGCGATCGGGACGCACACCTTCGAGTTTGCGCAGTTTGACAACTTTCACGTGGAAGCTGCTCGCTAGGACTCATGGGGCATCAAGACACGATTTGGATTTTTCTGTTTTTGATTTTGGTTCAGGGCCAATTCTAGTTTTGATGGAACTATATGTGCGCCTTTGAGGCTAACAGTAATGAAGAGTAAATAGGGGAAATGGTATATTTTTACTGAACCCTGTGAAGGATTTTATTAGAACTAATTCCAGAGGGAATGCTGATAGTGTTTGGCATTGTTTGTGGTAGCTCTTGAGATCTACTGTTTGTCAGTCCCATCCCTCAGGAGTGGTCTGGGTGGTTCTTGGCTTGCAGCCTTGCTCTAGTACCAAGCTAGGTCTTTCCATATTGCATGTAAATGATCATGCATATAGATGGGACCTAACGAACACAGAGGTGCATCTGTGAGCTCTGACCATGTGTCCACAGGAGTTGAGGTTTCCTTAGAAGATGCCTATGTTTAAGAGGAAGCGGATGAACCCTTGAACACTTCAACACATAGTCCTCTCTTTCTCTCTCCCTTCCTCCCTCATCCCCCTCTCTGCCTTCCTCCTCCCAGGATGATGCATTTGGAATTGTGTGAAATGATGTAGGGATGATTTGAAAATTACCTTATTAATAAACTTACTCCAAAGTCATTTTGCAGTAATAAAAATGATCATATTAATTAGGTTGTTTGTACTCTTTAATTTTCTCATTCCAACTTTTAAGTCTCATCACCCTTATAACTGTCTTGAGAACATTTTCCCCACATAAGCCAGTGCTGTAGGTGGGCCTACCCACTTCCCTGTTCATTTCTGGTGCCTTTTGTGATATGTCCTCACAGGGGACTCTGAAAACAGCAGAGCACTGGTGAATGCTTTTATCTCTCTAAAGTGGCAGGAGGGACCACCTAGCCTTTAACTAGCTCACAGACTGGGTCATCTAACATTTTTATGGATAGAAGCACTTACTACATTCCCAGTGTTTGTATTTAGGTGATAAACATGTTTCTCATTAGCATAAACATTAATGTAACTCCTAGAAACAAATTAATTTTCCATATGGGTAAAGTGAATTCTGTAATGCTTTATAAGGAAAAATTAGTTCTACTGCATGGGAATTTGTAGCAGTCTAAGATGGGTAGAACTACAGTGAGGTTTTGTGTTGCTTTTGAAAACTTGAAATCAAGTCTAAGTGATTTACAGTTTAGCTTTTTAAATATTTTTGAAAACTAACCCACAAGTATAATTGATGTATGATAGAATATTCCCATTTTAAGTGTGTAGCTTGATGTCTCGATGAATGTAAACATCCCTTGTGACCACTATGCCAGTGAAGCTACTGAATATTTCTAACACCCAGAGGGTTCTCTGGTGCACCAGTGCAATCAATTCCTGTCTCTGCTAAGCTCAGGCAGCATTGATATCTCTGTTGCTAACAATTTGCTTTGAAAGCATGAAAGTGACAAGGTGTGTTATGTATTTTTCTTAATGGCTGGTTTCCATCAGTATAATGCAGTGAGACTTGTCCAGGGTATTGTTTGCTGAAGTGACATGCTCCTTCATATTTCTGAAGAGAACTCCATTGAATGGATAGACCACAGTTTGGCTTTCCATCTCCAATTTTAATGATGTTAAAAATTATGATTTTAAATTATGATTAAAAATTACAAACCCTTCAAGAACACTTCAACAAATAGTCCTCTCTCCGTCCCTCCTCCCTCTCTCTGCCTCCCTCCCTCCAGGATGATGCTTTTGGAATTGTGTGAAATGATGGTTAACAAACTAACTCCAAAGCCATATTATGCTTTTTATGAATATTGTGATTTTATAATATATTTCTGTATTATAATATTGATAAATTATCCATAATGTTAATTTTAGGATATTAAACAATAAAACAGCATTTACGTACAAATCTTTCAGAGTATGCATTTATTTCCTCCCGATAAACTGGGGAGAAGGATTACTAGCTCTAATGTTAAGGTATTTTCAACTTCATGAGAAATCGCCAACTTTCCCCAAAATGCTGCTGTGCTGCTGTGCACCCATCAGCAGTGCTAAGGCCCGGATGACAGCATTCCTGCCTGGGCTGTGCACTGTACCTGGAATATATGAAGGTTTCTGCAGTACAGTTACGTTGTCTGTGGCTACAGGTGGTTTTGCTTCCTTCCCACTATGTCTTCTTTATTTCTGAGGTTTCTGCCCTGCTGTGCTGATGGAAACTTACAGGTCCAACAATGGGAAGTATTAAGGGCCTATTCCTCACCTTGTTTCCAGTCTTAGGAAGACTGTCTTTCACTATTAGTGTAATATTGTAGATGGTTTCTTTTTCTCTCTCTTTTTCTTTCTTTTTTATTTTTATATCCCTTTATCTAGGGAAAATTTCCGCTGCTTCCAGTTTTCTGAGATTTTAAACATAAGTAGGAATTAGATTTTTTAAAATGCTCTTTCTGTCTTGATGATGTAGTTGTATTATTTTTATCTGTTATCTGTTTATGTTGTATATTACATTGTCTAATGTCCAAATGTTAAAATATATCTGCATTCCTTAGATGTATCATGCCCAATTGGGTTCATCACCCTGTTTATATCTTGAGGCACTTGACTTGCTAGCATTTGTTGAATAAGGGGTTTTTTTTTGCATCTGTGCCGATGTGTAATATTGCCCTACTTTTATTTAATTATACTATCTTTGTCTGGTTTGGGCTACTGAGTGATCCCTCTAAAATTAACTTGGAAATGGTCTCTTTTCCTTGATTTTTCTCCAACACTTTGTGAGATTCTTGATTCTTAGAATTTGTTAAGTTCTCTCAGGGTCCAATCAAAAGATAGAAGACAGAAACCACACCAGAAAAACAAAACAAAACATGTGAGATAAACTCCTGAGAATTAAAAGAACTCTAATGGACTTCAAAAATTGGCCAGGCTTGCCAGTCAGTGCTTGCAATCCCAACACCCAGGAGGCTGAGGTAGGAGGAGCATGACTTAAAGAACAGCCTGTGCTACACAGAAAAGCACTGCCCCATCTTCACCCCTTTCTATTAAAAAAAAAAAAAAAAGCAAGAAAAGCATGGCTAGAGATTACCTACTTTATTGTCTACCGTAGCCTGGTGGGGACAAAGCAGAAGCAGATTTGGTAGTGGTCTTTTTCACTGACTGACGTTTGGCTCTCACTGAAGATGGTTTAACTGTAGCCTTGAAGGTCTACACATTTGCTGAGATGCATGCTGGAGCTGGCAAGGAGGAAAACTGCTTGCTGGAGTAGACACAAGTATGACAAAATGCCAAACACTTAAAATCCCTGAAATGTGTAAGAGTACATGTGACTCTGTTAATGCCTAAGTGTGGATCTCACTTCAAGGGGGGTGATAGTTTACTCTGGAGCAAAATCGAGTGACTGCAGCCCAAGCACACAGATTTAAGTTATCCCAAATGCCATGTTTCTGTGTGGAAGCATTTTCATGAAGTTCTTACAGTAACGACAACAGACTCTATCTATGAATGTACTTTTAAGGTAAATTGATGGCAACATCAGCAGATGGCTAACAGCAAAGTGGGGACATTGCCAGCTATGGCCTCAGCTGCTATCTGATGACAGTGTGGATTTGGTTCATAAATCTCAAAAAGGGTTTATTTGAGGGTCACAGGGATGTTAAGGTCAAACAGAGTTGGCAGTGAATTATGGTATAAAGACAGCCCAAGATAGTTTGGTTCCAGACTTAAAAATATTCCAGCTCTCCATAGTTAAAGGAATTCTAATCAGCCAATCAGCCTTGGAGAACATTTAGCATACATGCTATTTTTTGGAAATTTCAGTTCTAATATCTCACTAATAACTTCTCAAGAAAATCTCTTTTGGGAAGTCCACACTCACTCTTGAGGGTGTTGTGTGATTACTTTCCCAAGCTGCTCACTCGCTCTCTCTGAATGGCATTACTTAAAATCTGTGTTGTAGGAGCTGGAGAGATGGCTCAACGGTTAAAAGTGCTTAGTGCTCTTGTACATGACCTGAGTTTGGTACCCAGCACCCACATCAGGTGCCTTAGGACCACCTATAATTCAGTTGCAGGGGACATACCACCTCTGATCTCTTTAGGCTTCTCAATTCGTATGCAGGTACCCCAACCCGGGCCCAGGAGAGGCGGAAAGAATGACTGTCAGGGCTTTGAGAAGACTTCTGGATCAGGAAGATGGCACTCTTGGGTTGCACCTTGTCGGCAGCAGCCTCCATTGCTTCACATCTAATCAACGGTAGAAAGTACCTAGCCCTCTGGGGCTGCATTATTCCTTTTCACGAAACTTTACAAAGCCCTGCATTTGGGAACCAGCATGTTCGAGTAAAGGATCGTAAGTTCTTGCTGTACTACTTACACTATTTTTAGCGGTGAATGGATTGTTCCCATTCTTAGCGTCTTGAAATACTATCAGCAGGCATTTATTGTGAGTTTGTAAGCTCCATGGAAGCAGGGATTAAGTTTGATTCCATGCAGAGTCATATCTGGAGTATCTACCATAGCCCCTGATAATGCAGAAGCAACAGATAAGTTAGCTCTTGGTAGGTGTCTTAGTTACTATTGAGGAGACAACATGAGCTAGGCAACATATAAAATAAAGCTTTTAATTGAGGCTTTACCTGACAGTTTTGGAGGGTGAGTCCAGCGTGACAGCAGGCAGGCAGGCAGGCAGGCATGGTGCTAGAGCAATAGCTAAGAGCTTATGTCTGATCCGTAGGCAAGAGGCAGAGAGAAAGAGTGGGCCTGGTGTAGGCTTTTGAACCCTCAAAGCCTATCCCCAGTGATACCTCTTCTAACAATGCCACATTTTCTTCCAACAAAGCTGTATATCCTAATCCTTGTTTAAAAAAAAACAAAAAACAAAAAAACCCCACTGTCGGGAGCCGCTCCCGCCATTGCAAGATGGCGCCGGCTTCCTGTTTCCTGGTTCTTCTTGCCTGCGCCTCCCTGCGCTTTACGCATGCGCAGCTTTATGTTGATGAGGGTTTAGGCTGCAATCCAATTGCCAGCCATATACTGATGAGGACTCGAGCAGAGCACCAATTACAGATGAACACGCCTCTCTGCTGGCTATTTAAGCAGAGCACAACCCGGGGTCTGGGTCCTTCACCATCTGCAAGAAAGAGCTGTACAATAAACTTGCCGCTGAAGAAATCCTCGGTTGTTGCGTCGTCCTTATCGGCAAAGGCCGGTCGCGACACCCCACCAACTAGGGACCAAGCTTTCAAACATTTAAAATATCCAAATACATGAGCCTATAGGGGCCATTGTCACTCAAACCACCACAGTAGGATAGATAATTTGTGGGCTTGCAGACATCATGTGTTAAGTAAATCTTGCGTCCTGACAGCATAACAGAGTACTGGCACCTGGCTTAGTCAGCCTCAGCCTGACTCCTAGATTATCAGGGGAGCTGAGAATTGCCAATGACTGCCATATGAAATGTCTGAAACTACTTGTGTGTGTGTGTGTGTGTGTGTGATGTGTACATGTGTTTGCACATGCTTATGTATGCATATTCGTATGGCGCTCAGAAGTCTTCATCACGCGTCTTCCTCATCACTCCTTTTTTTTTTTTTTTTTTGAGCAGAGTATCTCTGAACCTGGCGCTCATTGATTTGTCTGGACTATCTGGTCAGCAGCCACAGGAATCTTCTTCTTGTCTCTGCCTCCCCAGTGCTGGGACTACAGCTATGTGCTGCTGCACCTGGATTTTCACATGGGTACTCTGGATCTGAATTCAAGACCTCATTTTTATATGGCAAGTACTTCACTGTGTGGATTCCCTAGCCCACAAAAGTGTGAATTTTAGAAGTCTGACTAGTTGGCATGTTATCAAGCACAAAAATTAACCGTATGAATAATAGGAGAAACTAATTTAGCTAGAGATACGTGGGTATTTTGGGGGGTGGGTGGGGTGATTCTGAGTGGTTAGCAGTTAATCATGAAAGCTTCCGCTTTAGGTTTTTGGAGATGTTGCCCTACTGAGCATCCAACTTGATGCTCCAGTATTAGCATGTCTTACCTAGGTCCTGCATGAGAGACATTGATTCTTTGAGGATTTGGTTTATTTCCATGGTTCTAAAGTTTCTGAAGGAAACTGTGAGTTTTTGCAGAGGTGAAGAACAGAGCCTCTGGCATTGCCCTTCCATCTCCATCAGGGGAAAAGCGGGCCATTGCCATGTGCTTGTTTTGCTTATGACTGTTTTCCTGTGCTCTTTTAATACTAGAAGCCTATGTTAAGTGCTGAGACTGATTAACCCTGGCTCTGGAGTAGACTTCTTAAGCCCGAACTTTCAGTGGCAGATGTGGGTTAGAATGTGTGACTGGGATCCGCCTCTGGCATCCCAGCAACATGCTGGTCTCTGTGATCTCTGTTCAGTTAATTCAGACAAGACCCAGAGAGCAGAAGACAAGAAGCATTTATTATAGACTTGCTCTCAAGTCTAAGAAGGGACAATGGAGAACAGCCATCGTGCCTACCCTTGTTGGTTTTTATGCTAATTTTAAGATCTCAAGAACAGATGTGTTTAACTGGTTGGTGATTGATAGGTCAGTCTATTTAGATTAAGGGAGTGGGGAATAGTTTGTCTTTGTTCCTTAGCAGCGAGTCTCTGATAGTAATTGTATGAGCTTTGGGGATCTCCTATCTTCACCCAGGGCTAGAAATATGACTCAGATATGATTCTTTTGATCAGTGATCAAAATTTGAGTTCTTGGTTTTATAATCTGAAGATTATAAAGGAGGGGTCCATCCTCCAACTTCCAAGCCTGCTAATATCTGACTCCCTTATAGAGACAATGTGGCAGTATTTCCATAACATCTTTCATGTCTCCCCACCCTGCTTTTGCTGTTTTTCTGGAGTACAGTTGCCATCAGCTCTGGGTACACATTAAGAAC